GGGGGGGGCAGCTGCGACAGGCGGGGGGGACACACGTCCATGCAGCAGGCCGCCGAGATGGGCAACTGACATGCATCGGAAGCGCTGGTCTGCCAAGGCTCTGGGGCCCGTGCGCGCTCAAGGACGGCAGCCATGAGTCACAAATGGACCTGGCGCGACGATGGCGCAGCGCGAGCGCACCCCTTTGGTAGTGCGCGACATGCGAAGCGGAACGATGGGCGGCGCCCGGCCCCGCCAACCGCAGTGCTGCTGCACGCCGTGGCACGCGTGGTGATACAGATGCTCGAGAGGCACACGACCAGATCTGCATGGTTGCTCTTGTGAACGTTGCTCGCCGCTGATGTAAGAGACCGTTGCCGAATGTATACACCGGTATTCTGAGTCGCGTAGGATGCCAATCATCACCGTTTTACTTGACACACTCACATTGAGGCTTCAGGACACACGATACCAGATCGGCGCCCGGCAACTCACACGTCACGCACGAACCTGCACCTCATCACCCCGCACGGCAGAGGTCACTTGCATGATAATCTTGGATCGCATAGGCCTCTCTCTGCCCGTATGGGGCAGGAATCAAATGCCGCGGCCAAAGCAAGCGGTAGACAGTCAAGGTGCAGTCAACCCAGCTCGAGCTACGCTGCACACGCTCATTGCGTGTAAGGAAAACACTGTAAATAACGGTGTATGTAATATAAGTGTGTCGAGCACAGCCAGACATGACAGAAGCAGCACCGAAGAGGAATTTGCAATGCAGACACTCTTGAGGAGATCGACTCTGCTGCGATCGCTGTAGTGTGGTTGGAGATTGTGGCTGACAGCCCAACATAATCGACTGCACACGGCAGCCAGAAGCAAGCTTGTCTGTGCACATCCAATCAACTGCCCTTGCACAAGGTGGCTTCAGGTTTGTTTGCATGTTCGTCACATTTGGTTGGTGCCTCCTAGCACTGGAGCACCTGGCAGCTGTTTGCCTTAACAGGCGTGATAAGCAGGCGCAGCCTTCCTGGCCCCTCGATGTAGCCTGATGGCACCCGTTTGCCGAGTCGACTTGAGCAGAGATGCCTACATCTGTGATCACAAGCGCGCTCCTAGTTTGACCGACCAGCGCGTCGGCGTACGGCTCTCAGACGTACGGCACATGCAATGAATTGAACCTGTGAACGGTCTGGGGCCTTTTGCACTTGACACAGGCATTTGAAATGCTCCATCTGCACAACGGTCATCTGAAAGCACTCTGACTCATGCAGACGGGTGACCCTGGCCTGGCAAATGGGCAAGTGTTGTAGGACGAATATCGCAGCGTGACATGATGATATAAGTTAATGAAAGCCGCTCTTGCAGTCGATCACTTGCATCTTCGTACAGTACCATATGCACGATGCTGCCGCGTCTGTGCGGGCAAAATTTGCCATCACATTGCAAAATGAATGCGCTGATTGACAGCTATCCTGCATATCGAATGGCCAGCCGGGTTGCCGCGACGGTAAACGGCGGCGAGGCTGGCGTTGCAGTCTCCGCAGCAGCACCGTCGCAGACGGCGCCTTCTGCGCCGCGCGTTTTTTTAGACCCGCAAAACGACGAGGCAGCGCGGCTGCTGGACGGCATTGACACCCTTATTCTAGACTGCGATGGTGAGAGCAGAGGCTGGATTGATCCTACCAGCTAGCAGGCCAGCTGTGTTCCCCATTCAAACCCTGACAGTGCCATTTGCATTGCAGGCGTGCTCTGGACAGGCAGCAAGACCATAGCAGGGGCGCCCGAGGTGAGGGATTGCAATGCCCCGGGGGTTGTTCTCCGTCCTCCTTGCGCCGCCAGCACTGCAAGCGGACCCCCCAGCTGCTAACAGCAGCCGGCCCGCCCCCACCAGCCCCCCGACCCCCCCCC